AATGTTGAAAATTTCGGCAGATTACATTGTTATTATTTATTGTTATCTTATAGTATTATTTATATCTCTTTTTGTTATTTGCCTTACGGCCATTTATTGGGCTAAAAATCGTAGTTTATTTAAGGCCATAAACGTGATAAAACATGAGTTAAAGCAGAATTTGAGAAATTGCTTCATATGTATATCGAGACTATATAGCATATAGAAATAATATAGCCGAGTGCTTTAGTACTATATCCATTTTTAGCGGAAAAATGCAGAAAAAAGTGCTTATCATTTGAGATCTCTTTCAGGCTAAATGAATTTTTCTTGTCGTTCATAAAATTTTAAATAATGAATAATTAAAATCAGTAGTTTCCAAAATAATATTGATATTGTAGTGCCTTCTATTTGACGATACTACGCAACACTATTAGTCTTCAAAAAAATTCTTTTAACAATCGACATCAGATCGAATTTAGAAAGTTTCGCAGTGACTACAGCTAAAGACAATAAAGCAATCAGGTGATGAATTTTTTTCTGAAATTTTGCTACCAAGAGAGAAATGCCATAATGACAAATTTGTGAACCATTCGATAACACAGTCTAAGATTTGAAATCCATTATATGGTTCAGGTCCTATATTTGTTTCGTCCAACGCATTAAACCCCTAAATAACCTTCAAATTTACAACATATTTTCTGTTTAATTGATGCGAATCAACATTTAAGATGGATAACATGAAATTTTCATTAGTTCATGCATCATTTAAAATATGTTCACTAATATATTGAATTCAAGAAATAAAAAAATATTAAAAAATATTTATATTTAATATTTATAAAAATATTAAAAAATATATAGAAATATTTCAAAGAATGTTTCATCTATTTGATTTGATTACAAAATTTATGCAGTTATTCTTTGAAAAGATGAAATATTTATTTGTTTCAAGTTCAACTATACCAAATACAATATTTTATAAACTATTATTAATTTTTATTTTTTCTTTTTCTCCTTAATGGTTCCATTCCATTTCAAATCGTTTTCGAATCTTTTTCATTAGATTTCTCCCGAGTTTTAATAGAGATTTAATATTTTAGGAAATTAATTTTTAATGGAATTTATTCCTTAAGAATGAATGCTTATCCATTCGTACAACCGAAAATATGTATCGATAATATAACCCGAAAAGAATAAAAAACTATTTTAAATTAATTTATCTTCTTATTTACTATAGAAGCCTTTTATTATAATATTTCAGGTTAAATAATTCACTGAGAAGAATTTGGCCACAGATTTTGTCCTTTGATGGCGCTTTCTATATTTTATAATTCTATAATTCTATATATATTTTTTCATAAATAGTTTTTTCATAAAGAAAGGCAATAAAAATGTTAATTTTCTTCTGTTTAACTTAAAAAGCAACCCAGTTTTATATTTAACAATTCAATGAAATCTCATTTTAGTATATTTCTATTTCAGTTGTTTCTCATATCGGCTCCAAAATTCATCAAAGGAATGGAATAGGCAATTGATGTAGAAATTTTCAATAGTTTTTGACGTGAGAAAAATGACGAATTGTGAGTTTTACCTAAAAATCGCGATCTTTTTTCTCGATTATTGCAGGTTTCTCTGACTGCAGTATAAAAATTTTGAGTATAAAATCAGACGATTTCTCCTATTTAGCTTTAAATAATTGAAAATATTGCTCAATTAGGAGTGCCGATGCTGAGATTCGATTCCCCACATGTGTAAACCTGTACAAAAATCGGGATGACACTAGCGATTCACCTGTATTTCTATCGCCAACGGACTCTCTGATATATTGCCCAATGCGACATGCCAGAATTTGACCAGTAATCGTGAGGACTCTTAAGAAAAAAAAAAAAAAAAAGTTTAATTAAATAATGAATTGCCCATTGAAAATATAAATATGTGCATTTAATAAATTTATAAATTATACTTTACTATCAAAATTTTTCAATAATAAAATATTTTTTTGTGACTAATCGTAAATAATCATGTGTTATGTTATTGGTTGCCTTTTTCCGCCATTCGTTTTTGCTATTCGTTTCTAATTTCTGTATAATTAGCTGAATGAAGCGATAATTTTGATAAAACAATTACAGTTGGTATTTTTTTTTGCTTAATTTTTTCTTTCAATGATGATTCGTCAGTGTAAATGGTTAGTATTCAACATTTCTGCTAGCTCTATTTGGCTCGTTGCTAGTAGAAAGAGATATTATAAAATTTTATTACTTAAGGATAGCCATTAGCATCATTTGCACTTTTTAAGCTATTACAGGCTTATTCCTGCCGGGAGCAAAGGCCCAATAAAATCTAATCGTAATCTAAAATGGGATACATTTAATTAAACTACTCAACATCGACTTGAAAACTTGCAATATATAATCGTTTACAGAAATTTTCCTTTTTCAATGAAAGAAAATATTAACAAAATTACAGATGTAAATATAAATTACTGAATAAGAATGATAGGCAACAGATGGTTCGCAACTTATTCGAATTTTTCCCTAAATTGTTAAGATTTCCCACAATTCAATTGTGCCATTGCTACATTAAAGTATTTTTATGGACTTTTATCTTATATTATAGTTTATTTTAAAACGTTGTACGATCAAAATTGGCTTAAAACCATTTAATGCGAAAATCATTCATCGATAAGCGCTAAAAATATATCAGTAATAGTTAATATTTGATCAATAGCTGATTATTTTTATACAACAAAAAAAAAATTAAAAATCAGCTCAGAATATTTATTTATTTATTTCTAATAAATAAACAATCGTTTAACTAGATAGCAATTTCGTTAAATTGATACGAATTATAATAATTGTAATATTATTCATTTCATTAATATTGTATTGAATTTAGCATTTATTTTCTAGCTGCACATCGGTATCATTTCTACTCCTTTCTTCAACTGATAATTGCTGATAAAAGATAACTTATAAATAATTTTCACTTTCTTCTCTGCAAAATAATAAACTAAATAATTAAATTAATTAAACTAATTTAATTTTCATTAATTAAATTTGTGAATTAAAAATTTTATATATGGAATCCAAATTAAGATTAATTAATAAAATGCAAAGCAAAACGCTTAATATTAATATAACAATATAAAAAATATAAAAAATTATTCATTCATAGACTATATTACTTCTTAGTTTGTTTAAAGATATTTATAATTATACTTATAATTATTGTTAATGCTTATCTTACTTTTATATGAGAATTTTACTCTATAATAATTATTCCACTTTATATATAATAATATATATAATAATATATATAATAATAATAAATATAATAATAATACATATAATAATAATATTAATATATAATAATATATATATAATAATAATATATATATAATAATAATATATATATAATAATAATATATATAATAATAATATATATAATAATAATATATATATAATAATATATATATAATAATGATATATATATAATAATATATATATAATAATATATATAATAATGATATACATATATAATAATAATATATATAATAATATATATATAATAATATATATAATAATATATATATAATAATAATATGTATAATAATAATAATGTATTTTTATTGTTGTTATTATGTATAACAACAATTTGCTCACTACTGGTGAATATTTAGTAAGGTGTAAATAATAAAATAATATGAAAATTTATTTTCCAAACAATCAAAATTTTAGTTTTATAATAATAAATTAAATAAAATTAAATCAATTAAATAAATCAATAAAAAATATGAGAATTTTGACCATTGTACTTATTTTTAATGCAATATTCCTTATGCGATTTATAAACAATACAAAATACATATTTCTAATACATAATTTTCACTTTCACGCTTAAGTTATTTTTTATTTTCAATTATTTCGGAATATTTCCTAAAACGCCGTATTTCCTCCAGTCGTTCGTTGCAACAGATGGACAAATAGAGAAAATTCATTGAGAATCACAATGATTATCGCCAATCACCAAATATTTCCACTATGTAATTTAGCCTTTCATATAATTTGATTTCAGTATTAGCAGGCAATGTTTGTGGGAATGGTGAAAAGTTAATCTCGGCTTTATTTACTTCCACCTTATAGCGGATTTCTTCTTTTTTTAAGAGCTTTTTGTTTCTCGAGGAGGTCGATAGTTCTCGAGGGTCGAGACTTCGGTGATGAAGGCGAGATCGATGGATAAGTGGAATTTCCGTATTTTTTTTTTTTTTTTTGAAATTTCACATGAATTTCAAATTATAATGGCGAAAAATAATATGAATTAATACATAAATTCCACATTTGTTGATGTTTTTATTTGACGTTCGCATTCAGTAGATATTTATCAGTAGATATCAATCAGTTATATCCAGAAATTCCTCATTCCTCATATATAAAATTTTTCTTGAATCAAATTTTCATAAATTGTTAACATCCAAAAAATATTTTTATAACTTTATTTAATAAAAACTTTATTTTTGTGAATTAATGCATATAATATAGTATGCAAAATGGGTTGAAAGAGGAAAAAAAATTTTTTTATATGGATGGCTTTAATTCTATCTAAAAATCTTAGAACATATTTTTAAAATTTTTTTGAATCTGCAAAAAAGAATTTTAATAGAAAATTTAATAGAAAATTTAAATAAATTTAACAGAAAAGATAAATATGAGGTTCAGCAAAATGGTTCAATGGTGTTTTTTCTTCAACTACGGTCAAGCATTATAGATTTTATTTTTATCCTTTGGAACCTGTCATAAAAAAGCGAAATCGTGATGGTTAATGGCCAACTTGTACTTCTATATCCAAATAACTATTTACAAGAATAGTTTCATTTTAGCAATCCCCCAATATAGCTCCAGTATAAATGATGGTTTGAAAAAAAATTATTAAAAAATAAAATTAAAATTATCAAAAAATATTAAAAGCGATATTTTCCTTTCAGCAAATTTATTAGTATATATAGAATTATTTAACGAGAAATGTATTTTTTAACTCTAATGATTCTAACAATATTGTCGCAAATTGAACTTCTGTTTGGAGCAGCAAACGCTGATGGACCATGTCAAACTGGTGCAATTGGGGAACTTTGTGAGAATGAAGAGAAGAATGAAGGATGCAATTTAGTATTTCCTGATGCACCAGTTGTGAATAAGTATTTTTAAAAACTTTTAACTAAAAGATTCCTTGCAAGAAAATTTTTATGCGCTTTCTTATATATTTTACTGGGATTTCGCAGATTTTTAATTCCTGATTTCCCACTTTGTTTTATAAGTCTTCTAAGTCAGCTCCTCTCGGTCAAAAATTTTTTATATACTGGCAGCTGCGTCTATAAATGGTTTCAATAAATGGTTTCATTAATTTGGCATCAATCGGTAAATCGAGCAATATATATTTATAGATTTATACTAACAGTAAGTTGTCCATTGCGAAATTTCTGCAATATATTTACAGCAACAAAGTATCAGATAATTGCCCGCTTTATCCGCTTTTGGCTGAGAAATGTCGAAAGAGATGCTTAAGCTGTTGTCTACAACCCGAATATGCTTGTTCGGATAATCCAGCTGGTTAAAGTTTTGCTTTCTATTTAAAACCCATTTTTCGACTAGCAAAGTGAATATTTGTTAAATACAAATCAGCTGGAAAAAATTGAAATTATAAGTTGCAGAATATTTTTGCTTGATACTGCCATATATCCTATTTTTTGTTGGATTATCTACCATGCATACTATTATTTTTGCTTGAAACTGCCATAAATCCCATTCTTTGCGGGACCATTTTTCATACTATTCTTTTAGTACTTCCATTTACATGCGTAGAAGCGAAGAATAAAAATCTATGCAAAACAACGAATCCAGCAATGAAAGCGTTGATTGAAAAAGGCTGTCCACAGACTTGTGGATTATGTGCTACTAATAATTGCACTGATATGGATCCGCTATATTGTTCAACGAATTATGTTAAGTGCGATGACGCAAATACTAAAGCATTTATGGCAGAATATTGCAAAAAAACTTGTAGGACGTGCGGTTAGTTTTCGCAAATTGCGTTCCAAAATATTTCTGAATTGATGAATTTTTCACTTAATTCTATTGTAAATTCCATTTTTCTTTCCCGATTAATCCATTTAATTCAAAATTATCGTGCAAATTATGGCACTATTTAGATAATTGTGTTGATAACGCGAATAACTGCGACAAAAATTACTGCAATGTTCCCTCTTATAAAAATATCATCGAGACACAGTGCAAGAAAACATGCGGAAAATGCTAAATTATCGTTCCATCGTTTTTTCTTTTTATTTCGGCTAGATTAGATTAATTCAACGATATTATTACTCATTTTTTAATAAATATGAATCCATATTCGCAATTTTCTATTATTCCTAGAATTTTGCCCTTTTTCATTCAGCAAATATTCATTTGTTTTAACAATTGTAACGTGGACAAACGTGTTTGCTAGAAAATCACATTAATCACGGTATCCAATCAACTATTATCTTTAGTTTGCATGAGACACGAGATGCAAGCATTGAATTGGGCAAATCCTTATCAATATTGACTTTAATTTTGTTTCTTTTTGATTTGGTATACTTGAATATATATGATGCATATTCGTTCTAATATTTTATAATTATTCAATTAATATATAATATTTATTATATATTAATATTTATAATATTTAATTAATATATAATATTATTATATATTACCTAATTGTAATAAATAATTATAGATAAATAATTGTAATAATTGTAATAAATAATTAGAGATATTTTTCATTATATAAATTTTCTTATAAGAAAATTGTGCAATTCAAATGAGCAGATAAAGAGATTTAAACAAAGATTTACAGATTGCATTACTCAAAATAGATCTGAAATTTTCAGTACATATAATAATGAATAACAAAAATTTTTTTATTTATGAAAATTATTTTATAAAAATATAGGAATATATGGAAAAAAAAAACGAATAAGCGATGATTTAATGCGAGTGGGAAAGGATTTAAGCAAATTTTTAATTTTTTAAAATGGAGTTTCACTTAATAATTTAGAAATATTATTGTATAGATATTGAATTTAATAAAAAAATACCATAATAAAACTGGTATTTTCTACGGGAGCAACTGCTCAGTATGTTTTCTACTACCAAGTTACTTACTTATATAAAAAGCAACCAACCAGATGGAAAAATCACCATAAGATAACATAAGTCAGCAAATGTAGAGCTAAACAGTGGCTTATTGCCACATTTCGGAGCGCCGATACTGGGGTACTATTCATGGTACCAAAATTTGCATTTCAAAAATCCGAATGTTGATGCATTAAAGGTACTATCAAGTGGCTCTTTTGCTAAATTTCGACAAATCATTGAAGCCAGTTTGATCAAAATTGTTAAGCAAAAATAATAAATTAGAAAACAGTTTTAAAAAAAAATTCTGTAAATCAAAGAAAAAAGTTTCAATGTTGCATTTTTGGATTTGTAATCAACGATGGTGTAACGATGGTGTCGTGGAAATCAAGGACATTGAATAATTCGTATGGAACATTATGTTCATTTATTGATAGTTTAAACTTCTGTCTACTCGCATTTGTGACATTAATCACTGTCATACCCATACTATAATGACTTTTCTTTAATATAATTTGGCATTTTAAGCCATCTATGATAAATGACGCAAATCTACGTTCCTTACCCTACAAATCTTATAACTAGCTTCATTTTTCTGTGAAAAGGTTGAGATGAGGCTGTATGGCTGAGGTGCATGAGATTGGTTATCATTTCATTTGCACAATTCGTTATCTATTTTTAGCGTCGATAGCACGTGCGATATATTTTCAATTTTCCCATCCAATTTTTTGCCCACAATTAAACTGTCTCATTCTGATAATCTGCGATGAATGCACTAACCAACGTAAAAAAATCTGCATAATCCGAAAATCTTTATGAAATTATTTAAATACCTTATTTTCTAAGATTCTAAGATCAAATTGCTCCGTGTTTGCATTTTTTATTATAATTTTTCTCGTTTTAATAGAGAAAATATAAGAAAAAAGGGAACATTTTAAAATTCAAATATTTATTTAATGAATAATTGAATTGAATTGAAAAATTTAAAAAAATGAGAAAGAATTAGTTAGCACGTTGCAATTATAATCGCTAATTTGCAATTAATAATTAATGAATTGAAAAGAAAAAAACAGTAAGAAATTTGCAAAGATTTTTACCTCATAAAATAATTTTCCCTCAATGATATTTCCAAAGATTTACAAGACGTCACCTACAGTTATTCCCTTTATGGCTTTCCGTTTTTCTAAACTTTTCCATGCCAAATTTCTTACTTTTCCTACTTATCTAAATTTGAAAATTGTGTAGAACGCTGTTATCCTTTTTTAGTTAATGAGTCTGCTAATATTGTCGACCTAATAGCAATAACATAAGAGAAGATATCATTTTGCTTAGACTTGCGGTTTGTTCACTTTTGCTTTTTGCTTTTCCGACTAGAAATTTTTTGTTACGGAATCACTTAGCAAAGATCACCAGCATTATTACGAATTTTAGAAAATATTTTCTACTGAAAGTAAAACCTCCAGGAGCTCTCAAAGTGGCAATTATTTTTTCTGCTACCTATTAATTATAAGCACAATATAATTTGCTAACTTCTCTATCTCTTCTGGAAATTTGTTGCTTAGCTTATTCCTTGGCTATCAGAATTCATCAAAGAAACAAAGAGGAAGATAAAACTAAATCTAAATAATCTAAAGATCAATAAAGAATAATAAAGATCATCACATTACTATCACTACTATAGCATCTTGAATGCATAGCTTATTCGTAGTTCATGTTACTTGACATAAGCTGGAGCAAAATACCGCTCCTTTAACTTCATAAGGGGAATATAACATATAACAGATCATCAGCACCATTGTATTTCATTTTGAGCGGCGAACAGATTTATTTTGAGCAGATAGATTTATTAAAATAAGGAATCCCATATTGCACAACTTTCAACTACAACCTACAACCGATACAACTATGGCTATGTACGTATTACATAATTGTATTACATAATTTGGGAAAATTAATGAAGAAATCGTCAAGCTAGAATTTGACTTTATTAGATTCCGTTTCAATAGCAAGGACGATCATTTGATTATTTAATTGTTTAATCATTTGATTATTTAATTTTTAACACAATTTTGTATTTTGCAGCACATAAAACTAACGATTTTTGAAGATTATAGAAAATGACGATAGATATATGGAAAAAAATTTCTTGGCATTTCAAGGATTAAAGAATATATCACTTAATTTTTATAAATAGTCGCTAAACTGTCTCAGTTCACAATAATTGTCAACCGATGCAAAAGAAACTAATTCGGATTGAATATTCTTATTTCTTTCGAATGGCAACAAATAAAATCATTTCGATTAATTATTGCAACTTATATCCAAAACTCTTAGGTGGATAAATTTTATACATGTTATTTCGAAACTCTAAAATCTTGTATGGAGATCCATGGATTTTCATGGTACAATCTGGAACGTCTGCGGAAAGAAGTTGGACAATGACTGGGCAAATTTTTAATTTGTTTATTCATTAAGAAAAAAAAGTGCCATTTGAGATGAACGGAAGGCTTTTATTATTTTACAAAAAATATTCAATTATCTCTTAAATTTATAGTTCAATTTTTTAAGAAATAAAGAAAATAAGAAAAAATTTTACATGCTATAAAACATTTTTGCTTGATAAAATACGATAAAATTCATTCCATTAATAAAAAATATATTTGACAAATTATGGAAATTATCGAATATTGCAAATACAACCACAAGCATAATATTAATTTGAATTTAAGGTATCTGCTCGGAAATAATAAAATAAATAAATAAACAAGCAAATCTGTTAGAATCGGTCTTTCTGCATTCATTATTGGCTTGATTGTTATTTTATAAAGAACAATTTTTTTACCTCACATGGCTTAATTATCTTTTAATTTCATTATTTAGAATCAGTTTAAAAATGCTGAATTCTTTGCATTCACGGTCGTAGCAAATGCACCGCCACTACTCGCTTGGAGCGTAGCAATGTCCTAAACTGTACGCTTCCAATTATCAATCTGGAAAGAAAATTTGCGATAAACGATTAAAATGCACTAATTATTCCCTCGTATCGCATTTTGCTGAAAGTAATTTTTTGAATAAAGGTGAATTTCGAAATAAGTGTAAGATAAATTTTAAATAAAATTCACAACTACAATCAGCAAATGTCACTGACCGAAAAAAGTTGAAAAACTGCTTAAGTCATTGCGACTGGGAAATTTTAAGAGACAATAGGCATTAATTATGAGTTTTTGTATTAAATCATTCAAGAAAAAAATGGATTAATGGATTATTGCAATCGTTTCAGGATGTCGATGCTGGAGCTCATTTTAAATAAAAGTAAAATTATCATTAAAAATCCGAGTTATTCTAGAAGACATCTAGCCGCATGGAACTCCGCAAATGGCTAATATTCCAATCAGATTAATTGCATTTTAGTCACTGCAGGAGGAACAACGACAAATGGATTTAGAAGATGGAAAAACGAATGGTTTCTATTACTATTAATGATGTCGTCAGACTAGGCAGCTTGGAGACGTCTTGTAGCCAGCGAAGCCATTCTAATCAGTAATGATGAGAGCTGTTGAAAGACGAAGTTATGCTAGCTACCCACCCATACTGTCGCCAATTTATAGCAAATGTACTGTAAGTACGTTCAGTGATAGCCGTGTTAGAAGTGATCGCTTCTTTTTGCGATGTTCGCCTTTTCATGTCTCCCTGAGAAATTTTAAAGCGAAATTAAAAAGAAATACCCATCGACTCCATGACAAATTACCCATATAACTCTGAACGATATGAATAATCCCCACTTCGTATGAATAAAAAGCGTATTCCAACTGGCCATAAAGATGAATACGTAAATAAGCGCGCTAATGCACGTCTAAAACATTTGCTTAACTTGTTTTAAAAAAATTCGACTTTTTTTGGA